ATCTGGAGCACCACATGAACAATATCAGCATTGGCAAAATCACCCTCAGTCATTTGCAAAAGGCAACTTTACTTAGAATAGTTTGCATTCTGCAACAATATTTTAATATTATTAACAACATCTCCCTATTCCAGATACCTGGGAAGGAATTGATAGGTGGACAGTCTAAACATCTGGCTGGCTGTGCAATGAACCATAATGAAATGCAGATTCTCACAAAAATGATCTGTAGGATTCAAAACTGTGCTTCAATATGATAATGAATTTAATCAATCAATTTATCTAAGTTACAGATTAATCAAAGCTGACACTTGTTTCAGAGCAGTATATCAAATCAGAGGACTTCAAACACTTCATAGTCTTTTAAGGCACTTTGCAGACTTGATGACTTCTGACAACATATAACTATTGCAGCTTCATTTTCAAATATCAAGAATGCTGAAAAGGAAACCTGAATGATGTAATTGTCTGTCTAACATGCTCATTGGGAAGCTACCAGTAGCGCTGTTTTTGGCCTTAGCTCAGCATCTTTGTTTTGAATAATAAAGCCATAAACATTATTTTATGATCTGCCTGCCTCATATGAAGTCTCCCACATTTGAAGGCTAGCCTCAGAGTCCCCTGGCCCCAGTCTAAAAACATCTAGCATTAGAAAGAAAGTATTTCTAATGATCACTTCTTCATGAATGAAGAGGGAACTGTTTCAAAGCACTAAACCCAATCAACAGGTTGCAAAACACTTCATCCCCTTGCAACGTGCTTTGCAGATGCCATAGTTTTTGGCTGCTTGTTTCCCAGTGTTGCAATCTCACTTTCATTTATGGAGGAAGCTCAAAGGGGAAGTTTGAGTGATTTGAGAACTTTCTTAAGATTGTCTATGGAGATTCTCAGTTATCCAGGTCATGGTTGTCCCAAATGTGATTTTTTTTCAAGAGGCAACTGGATTTCCTGGGTTTATTTATTTATTTATTTATTGGTTCGATTTATATGCCACCCTTCTCCGGAGACTCAGGGCGGCTTACAATGCATTAAGCAATAGCCTTCATACTTTTTGTATATACCTGCTTAGAAGGGCTTTCAGCCCCCCCCCCCAAAAGCGGTGTTCTTTTTTATACAAAGTCAGCTTATTGCCCCCACAATCCGGATCCTCATTTTACCTACCTCGAAAGGATGGAAGGCTGAGTCAACCTTGAGCCTGGTGAGATTTGAACTTGCAGTAATTGCAGGCAGCTGGTGTTACTTAACAGCACTTTAATCTGCTGCGCCACCAAGGCTCTTCTTTGAAGATGTTTCACTTCTTATCCAAGAAGTTTCTTCAGCTTTCTTAAGATTGGTATTTATAGCTAACAAATGAGTTTCATCACATCATTAAACTCAATGCCTACCAGATTTATTTTGGCATGCCAAATCTAACATGGCTCTCTTTCTCAGCTCTTTGCTTCTTAAACAAGGTTAGCCACAACCGTAAACTCGGCTGTCTCTTGAGATAATGGAATTTGGTTTTATACTTCTCTGCAGGTCCTCTCAGCACCTTGAATAAGAGCTCAGGATTGATCAGTCCACTATATAGGGACTGGAATGAAATCTTACTTCTAATTCTGGGTGAAAATTTATTTTTAATTCTGCAGGAGTGAGACAGATGTAAGTGACTTTCTTGGTAAGGAGTGGAAGGTTAATTTGTCAACATGCACTGCCTAGCTTGGCAGCCCATGAAAACCAGTATGGGGATCTTTCTCAAAACAGGCCAAGCATACTAACCAAATGTTAATTTAAAAAAAAAAAAAAACTAGTTATGGCAATAAAGCATGCTACCCCACAATCACAATACCTGGCATCCCAGGATAACAAAAGAAATAGTAAAAATGTTGGTGGGGCTGTTTTTGTTTTCATTCTGAATACGATAAACCCAAAAGTTATCTAGCAGAAATTTGGCTAGGTTAATTTTTCTAAAAAATCAGTCATCCCTGCTCTTTGCATGTTATCCTCACTCTACCCTGTTCTCAGATGTAGATTCTTCATTGTTTCTTTATTAAAATCAGATTAAAAAAGATAAACCTCAGAATCTCAACTACAGCAGTGGCTTATATCAGTTTGCCCTTGAAACTCAAATCATTGTCTCAAATGCAATTATATTGTCTTTGAATCTGGAAGTTCAAACAGAATCAGGTTTGATCTGCATTGATTTAGTGTCCATGCTGATATTAGCTAGCGGTTAGGAATAATAAAGGACAAAATTTAATTCCAATATCAGTGAGATTGGGAGAAAAAGATGGAAGTGGTTTTCTTCTGAACTAAATTAACTAATAAGAGAATATCTGTGGCTCAGGTTGAACTGTGGAGTCCTCAGTGTCCTCTGTGCTTGATTGTTTGCTTGCAGATGTTTCATTACCCAACGAGGTAACATCATCAGTGCATTGATGATCATTGATGATGCTTCCTAGTCAGCTAATGGGATGTCTTCAAACAAGCAATCAAGCTCAGAGAGCACCAAGCGCTACACAGAAACTAAATTAAGCTCAACATCTGAGTAGCAAAAAAGTGCAAATCCTAATTGTTATAGTTCAAATTTAAGGAACCAACATTTAAAAGAATCATATAACACCATGTGATTTCATTAGAAAAGAAATTCATCTATTTTCCAGTATTTTATTCTGCACCTTTTCTCTTCTTTCTAATGAAAAAAGACTTCTTCTTTCTGAAACAGAACACAGAAAACTTTGAGGGGGATTTATTTTCTTTTCTAAGATTTGGGAGTGCTAAAACATGCCCTATATCAGCCTTGGAAGCCATATTAGGCCAGAAGCTTCAGTGCTGCCACCTTCCCGTGTGTGGGAACCTAGGAGGGGGGATTAAGGAGAGGGGTTGTTAGTAGCATAATAGCATTCTTCCTGTCGGTCAAGGTCAGGGTGATCCAGCATCTGGAGAAGGAGTGGTCAGGGGGCTGGATCGAGATGGAGCGGACGTTGATTGGAGCATGTGACCAACTGGGGGGAAAAGGGGGTGGTTTTGGGAGCTTTGACTTACTGAAGGAAAACCTGGACTTTTCAGATTCGGGTTTTCCCAGATGTGCCACTTTGCTTATTCTAGGAAAGAGAACTTTGGAAAATGTTTGCTTCCACGTCTTTACTTGGAGTTGGGGTTTTCCTGGAACACTGACACCCTAGTCTTTAGGTTCACTTTTCTCTCCCGTTTTTGCATTTGGAAGAGTTACAGGTTTCTAATTATATGTCAGAAGGAGGAAGAGTTGATTTGTTAAGTTTTTATTCAAAATAAGTTGGAAATGTCAATTGATATGGTGCCTTTTTCCAATGTATCATGGCTGTCAGAGGAACACTGTGAGACCAAAATAATAAAGGTTATCAGTGCACTGCATATTTGTGTCACATCATTAAAACTGGCCAAGCAATTTTAACCACATTTCCTTTTACAGACATTTTTACAGAAATGAATCTTAGCTATGTTCCACCATCCCGGATATACCAAGGAATATGTGCATAGGTTTATGGGAAAAGATGGTTGGGAATCAAAGGTTGGAAGCCATTTTCAGAACGTTCCATTTAAAGATTAACAGTCCATGGACGACTCATTCTTGCAAAGAACTTAATTATAATTTAGAGGCTTTGTTCCATGTATAAATCCTACTCAGGTACAATTTGCCTTTGGAATAGACTTTGAAGTTCTGACCCAGAATCTAACAGCTAAGATTTTTTTTTACAGTGACTTTAAGATTTTTAGTGGCTCCCATTTTGTTTCTAGAATCAGCTCAGAGTTCTGATCAAACTGTTAAAACCGTTCTCATTAGGGCAGACACGGGATTGCACTTTTCCTCATGTATCTGGCCATCAGTAATTAGTACAGTATTGCCGGTGGTGCGATTCAACCAGTGTAACAACCGGTTCGTTAAGCACATGCCAAACACGTGCTCTGTGCATGCACTAAATAAGCACTCCACGCGCGCACAGTGCATTTCAAACAAGCTCTACAACTCACCTTCTAGTGCCCCAGTAAAACAGCTGAGGTGCGGCAATCTGGTGCGGCTATCTGCTCTGCCACGCCAATCTGCACTATAGGTCAGTATAGTGCAGGGGCAGACAGGTAGGCCCACCTGAACTTCGGAGCGAACCCGTTTGCTCTTAGCTGGACATCGGAGCTACCGGTATGCCCAAATTGGTCCGAACCATTAGAATCCCATCTCTGAGTATTGATGTTTTCAGTTACTGTTTGGAGACCAGTCATGGTATGTCACTTTGGTAAGGATCTTCCTTCATTTTTTGCATTCACATGACCTACCAGCATATTTCAACTCCCCTGTTAAGTATCTCTATTTACCCAAGTCTTTTACAGCAATGCATGTTAAAATCTATGGCATTGTTTAAGTCTGTATTTTTCAACCTTGGCAACTTTCAAATGTGAGGACTTATACTCCCAGAATTCCCCACCCAGCATGGATGGCTGGGGCATTCTTAGTTTTGAAGTGTTCACACATCTGAAAGTTGTCAAAGTTGAGTAACACTGGTCTACATATTTGTTCGTAGGCAATGTTATTCCATTTGTCAAGGTGCAGCTTCATCTTATTGTTGATTTTATCCTGTTTTAAATTGCATTTATAAGGCACTTTGAGTTCTGTAATTCAGAAGGAGAATCTGTACATAATTTAGTTGCATACTGTATGTAACATATTAGTATTCACAACATATAAAATTTGCAACCTTGATCACCAGTTAATGATGAATTTGATAAAACAATTTGGTGTGCTATTTTTCACTACACTGTTCTTGAATTTAAAAGCTCGTTCCACCATGCTTTTCTTTCTTAGGTGTAGATTCCTTTGTCCCATCCAACAGGATTTTATTTTTAGCTGTTGGTAGAAACTCTTTTAAGCAACTTAAAGTAAGTGCTCATAAAAACATAGTCAAAATAATGGAAATATCTAGGGAACCATTACCAATATGAGAGCTTTCACCTGGTTTCATTGTCTTCTGCTTTTTTTTTTTTTTCAGATGTGTATGCACAGCAGGCTGGACAGGACAACAGTGCAATGAAGATATAAATGAATGTGAATCTGCACCCTGCTTGAATGGAGCAACCTGCTATGAATCCATTGTCCCTGGTCAATTCTTCTGTGCTTGCCCTCCATTTTATATTGGAAAAAAATGCCAGTATCACCATAATCCATGTGATGCTCCCTACAATCCATGTAGAAACAATGCTACTTGTTTGGCCCAAGTTGATGGGAAGCCGTTATGCATCTGTCAAAAAGGTGACTTATGAAAATGCTGCATGCTTGGTACATTTTACAATAGTTCACAGCAGGGTGAACTACAGTGAAACATTAAGTGTAAAATTTAAACCTACAAACCTGTGGATGGTTAAAGAGGAACATCCATTGCAACAACTGAACAATATAGCTAAGCTATGACCTATATTAGGTCATAGTTTAGAACTGGAAAAGGGAATGATTGAAGATGAAAGGGGGAAGCTGCAGACAGTCTACCTAGATTTCTTTACAGGAACTGGGCAAATCATAGGCCAATCGAAAAGCTTTCCAACAATGTGAACAATTTGACAATGGAACCAGGGAGGTAATAGACTTCTGTTCATTGAAAAGGTTCAAACAGGGACCTAGCATCAATCTATGTGGTTATTTTAATTTGGATTCCTACTTTTAAGTGGCTTGGCTTGATAGTCTCAATGGTCCCTTCTAACACTACAAGGAAAACTTAACAGAACTATTTTATCATCAACAACTGATCTGAGTGTCTTGTAGCTTTAATTAATCAATTGTTCTTGATAAATAAAGCAATTATTGAAATAATTCTGCAAGGGTCCATTTTACATTGCCTTCAAAACCCTCAGGCATAAGATAATCAGCCAAAGCAACTATTCATTTTTCTAAAGATTACATTACATGAAGGCCATCAGCAGGTTCTCTTTCTTGCCTAACACTCGCAACTCTGGGGAAAAGACTTCTATTTTTCAAAAGAAAGGAGCAGAAAAACATTTGTAATGCTCAAACGGGAATGCTTCATTTCTTTATTTTACTACCATGAGTAAAGTTTTGGGGATTTAAGCAATGTAGGGAAAACATGCAGAACACAGTTTCTGGAATTATTTCCAATCCCTTCATGAAAGCTCTGTTCATAATCACATGACCAGGAGAATGAAGAATAAAGCAGCTGCAATATCCAAAATCTTTGCAAAACTGCCTTTCCCATAGGTGTGCATTGAGGAATTTTATTTTCTTCAACTGCATCTAGCCAGTGGTGGGATTCAAATAATTTAACAATCGGTTCACCCAGGATCAGGCTGGCTGTCATGGGAGGCATGGCCCATCCCCATCCTCCAGTTCTGCTGCACATGCGGGACGAGCCACCTGCGATAGCCAACCTGACTATGGGTGAACTGGTTGTTAAATTACACCCCCCTCCGCTATCAAAATGGATCCTGGGCAGGGGTGAAATGCTCCCGGTTCGGACCGGATCATCCGATCCGGTAGCGATGGCGGTGGGTGGGTGTGCCCCCCCATCATGCCCAGCTGAGCCACACGATCATCAGAGGCTTTTTTTTTTACTTTTAAAAGCATTTTTTCTACAACCTCTTCTGATGAAAAAATGCTTTTAAAAGTTAAAAAAAAAGCCTCTGATGATCACGCGGCTCAGCTGGGATCGTCAGAGGCTTTTCAAAGCAATTTTTTCTGCAACCTCTTGGCCGAAGAGGCGGTAAAAAAAATGCTTTGAAAAGTCTCTTACGATCCCAGCTGAGTTGCCTGATCACCAGAGAGGCATTTTTTAAAAAGCCCCCTCTGACGATCCCAGCTGAGTTGCCTGATCAGCAGAGGCTTTTCAAAGCATTAGAAAAAATGCTTTGAAAAGTTAAAAAAAAAAGTTGGCCACGCCCACCCAGCCACATTACCCCCCCACCAAGCCACACCCACACAATCAGTAGTAACAAATTTTACATTTTACCCCTGATCCTGGGCACTGTGCTGCACTGAAATGGAAAAATGGGCAACGGAGCGTCTGGCACAAGGGAAGGAGGAGGAGCAAGAAGAAGAAAGAGGGAAAGGGGCCCTCTCATTCCCTCGCACCAGCCGCTCTGTTGCTTGTTTCTCCATTGCAGTGCATCACCCAGGATCCACTTTGATAGCGGGGGTTGGTAATTTAATAACCAGTTCGCCTGAAGCAGTGCGAACCGGCTGAATCCCACCACTGGATCTAGCCTGTTTTCAAAGCCAATCTTTTACCAGATTCTCCTGTAATAACCAAATCTTGATACCATTTTGTTCTTATAACTTTATCCTGAAGATAGTGGTCCGAAGCTCCCTTACATAATTCCTTTCCAATATTCCATTGGATTGGAAAGACTAAAAAGGCCTTCAGCTGAGAAATCTGTTGGGATTTCTAAATCACGATCTGAACTGCATTTTAATTCATCACTCACTGCTGATTAAGTAAAGCCAAAAACTCATGCGGTTGGTGACTCTGCAGCTACAGGCAGTAGTACATGTTTATAATTAAAAGGCTGGACAGTCAGATAATTGAAAATGCAACCCAAATAAGAAATACCCCTAAGTAATAAGAAACTGAAATTTAGTTTCTTCTAAATGTTTTACTTGGAAAATATAGCATGTGAAAAAACCCGCTTTATTTTAAAAATTTAAAAAATAAAAATCTGTTCTCCAGGGCTGTATCAGATCATTTCCATGCACTGTTGATTTATAATTTGTATCTTCTGCTAGACTGATTTGCATGACCAGCAGCAGTTAGTAGTTGCATTTAAATGCACCTATTACTTTAGTAGACATGGTAGTAAATGTCATTACCATAACAATACATTAGCACTAAATGTATATTTTCAAATGCCTAATTAATAAACCAATTTACAAAACAGTTGGCTGAAAAATAAAAACATTGCTGTTTTATATATTAAATTAGTAAACTATATTCACAGCCTATGACATGAATTAGAATTTACATTATGAATGTTTTCTGAAGACTGTTCTGGGCAAATATTTTAGATGCTGCAAATTGATTGCGGTTGGTTATGTTAATTTGTCATCATGTTGCTAACTGTTAAAAATGTGTTGAACAACTTTAAGTTTCAGAAATTAAAGAAAAACAGTTCTCATTTCGTTGTGCTAGATCACATTAAATTGGCTGGAAATATGGACTTGGCAGTACTTTTAGTAATTTCCCAGACTGTCAAGGGTATTTCTTTATTAAAGACTCTAGTTCTGTTCTCAGGACAGAATAGATTATAATAATTATAATTCAAACAAAGTGTAATATATATCAATAAGATCATATGCCTAACACAACCATCATTCTAAATCAAACCAAGATAAAATGGTTATAAAATCAATAAATAAAAATAAACAACTCTAAAATTACAAGGGGAGGAGAAACAAAAACCCTTGAAGAGCTGTTGGGATATCAATAAAGAAATACTTTATTTTAATTTAACTTTAATTAAATTTAATTTCTTGTGTAAGGGATGTCCTTAGAACAGTTCCCCTAGTTTACCAGCAGTCACCATCAAAAAGCTTTGTTATATACTAGTATCCCTATCTTTATATTGTAGAACAGAGGAATTCAGAACACACTAAAACAATAAGTAGTGTAAATCCAAGTTTAAAAAATTTGCATTAGACTTGGAAATTGGGTTAGAAACTACATCATTCTGTAGAGCTGACATCAGCATCAAATATTCATCCCATGAATATAAGGCATTGACATAACAAGTGTTTTTGTTTAAAGGGAAATGTAGAGGGATGAAAAATGAATAACATATAAACCTAACCTATTTTCTAAAAATGTGGAGAATGAAATCTATTCAACTATATACTGTATATATTGCTTTTCTCTCTCTCTGTCCGTCTCTCCTTTGTGTTTGTACCGAGATTGCACACTTTCATGATAAAAATGACATTACTTTTTTTTTCTTCCTGAAATAGATTTCACTCCTTTCATAACATTCACTTTAGATGAAAAAGACCTCAAGGAATGTCATTTCATGATGAAGTCCTAACTTAAGAGCGAAGATTATCTCCCTATGTTTGGTTCTCAGTAGCAATAAAACACACTACCATAAACTTTGAAGGCTCTTTTGTCAATATATTTTACAAATCATAATGGCTGCATTCAGAAACACACTAAACCAAAACAAAGTAAATCTTATCATGACTTAGCATGGTGTCCGAGTTCCAATTTTCTAGCAAATTAAATCTTAAATTCAATTTTCTCTGTCAAATTATGTAATCTTCTCCAAAACCAAAGCAGACTAAATACCTCCTATCATTACATAATTAATATAACAACAAATGAAATCATCAATATCAATCTCTCTTTCACAGTCTAATGACTAGAAATATTATATTGATGAATGATCTAGTTAAGTGATGGCACTCACTATAGTAAGCACTCTTGAAAAAAATTGTCAGATTTTACATTGCTTTCAACATTTGCAATGACATTCAATTTTGACTCTTTATTACAAGTAATCTATATCAGAGTTGCTCAGAAGCTGAAAACAGTACATTTGGGGTTTCTGTATTGGTGCATCATACATTGTTCCAATAATACCTGAGCACCATATACACCATATACAGTACACCATATACAGAAGAGTGTAGCTATTTGACCAGTGATTTAAAAAAAAATAGAAAAGAAAAAAGAAAAGCCCAGTTTTGCACTAGCCACCAACTGATAAAAAAAGTATTACCATCCTGATAAGCACATTTTCTTAGACTTTTTTTCCAATATACATTTTCTCCAAGATATTTTTTACATTGCTTTCACTAATGTAAAAAAATTCACTCTCCTTTGCCGACACAATTCATTTTTGTAGAAAGAATTGCAATGACAATTCTAAAAAGGGTGCATCTCTGAATTGGTTCAGCGAGAAGGAATAAAGTAAATAATGACTTAAATCTATACTAAATCAATTTTTCCCACTCCTAGTCTCATCAATATAAAAAACATAAATAAGGGAAGAAAAAAATCTCCTTTGCAAGTGACAATATTTTTTTTTTACTCTAAGATATCTAGAATGTATAAGAAGTACAATGGCTCAGTGGCTTAATGACACTGAAGATGGTTTCTGCTCTGGCAGTTTGAATCTAGCACTACGTGGCAGGGTGGGCTCCTGCCACTCAACTCAGCTTTTGTCCACCTAACAGTTTGAAAGCATGTTCTATGCAAGTAGATAGATGGTGGAAAAATGAGTTGGTGCTCTGTGCAGGGAGTCAGATTCATGCTGGCTCTAAACCTTCTCGGCTGCGATGCCCATTTGTGAGGCGGCTCTGGGAATGGAGGGAGCCTTGGGTGATGCTGCAGGAAGAGTGCTCTCATCTTTCTCTCTAGTGTGAAGTCAGCTTGTCCTTCTGTGGTGCACCTTGGGAAGCGTGCAAGCATGTCCTACAACAGGGCTGGTATCTTGCCAAGCCAAACTATTACTCTGCAGTTGCATTGTGGTCTCCTGGCTACTGCAACAATGCCATACACTAATAATAATAATAATCTAGAACATAGATAATAGATAATAATCTAGCTATGTTGGCTGGGGAATTCTGAGAGTTGAAGTCTGCACTTCTTCAAACTGCCCAGATTGATAAACACTGAGATGTATGATAGCTTAAGCTCCATGACAGGACAGATTTGCATAGTTTTTGAAGACAGCATACTACTATTTTAATATAACATTTCCAAGTTTTTCAAAAGAGTATCCTGGCCGATTTTGCTAGATGCTCATTTCCTGCATTCTTCTTTATTTTGTCCTTGCATTAAAATATTATTCGACATGTGATCATCTCTATGGAGAAGTATCGCTTGTTAGATTGAACAGGTGAAAATACTCCAAGTGTTTTAAAGTTCAATTTTGAAGGCATTCACCTGGGTCTTTGTTATTTCTGCTCCTGACATTCAAAACTAAGTCAAAAAGATCATAGATCCATTACTGCTTCATCTGTCTTTCAGGATTTGAAGGTACTTACTGTGAAATTGACAATAATGAATGCATCTCCAACCCATGTAAGAATCAAGGTCACTGTGTGGATGGGGTAAACAGTTATAGGTAAGGAAGAATCAGTGTCAGACTTGGCTTGGGGACTGTTTTAGAAGAAGATAATGTGGCACAGATTTAGATCATTTGTGGGAGAAGCCATTGCTTAAAATTTCTTCAGTTTCTGGGCTATAATTAAAATCTGTGCAATCAACTAATCAAATATTCTGCCAAAAAAAGTTGTTTAAATTGTCCAGAATGTTTGTTTTAAGTGATACAGTATACAGAAAATATGAACAAAATCTTGTGCATTTTCCTTTTTTTTTTTTTTTTTGTTACTTCTTCTGCCAAAGATTCTTTGCAGTTTACTAAATGCCATCCTTCTATCCAGGTGCTTTTGCAGAGATGGCTTTTTTGGGATACTGTGTGAAGGGGAGATTAATGAGTGCCTATCAAGTCCCTGTGCAAACGGCGGAACATGCATAGATCTCACAAACAGGTTTGTGGCTGGAATTAAGTTTTGGCCTTTCACTTTGCTGATACAGCATGTCAAGTAATATTAGAGAAAGTAGGTAGCCTATACTTTGAACAGCATAGAGCAAGCAATTATGGCTCATTTCTTAGGGTTTGTAGTGAACTAATAACAGAATAGTCATTATACAGTTAGAGTCATGATGGCACGAGTGCCAGAGGTGACATGCAGAGCCCTCTCTGTGGGCACGTGTGCTGTCGCCAGCTGCTCGTCTGGTTTCTGGCATGTGCATGCATACACAGACCAGCTGTTTTTTGGGTTTCCCGCATTTCAGTGTGCATTCCGGTTTGGGCACTCGGTGCCGAAAAGGTTCGCCATCACTGAATTAGAGTAATATAATCATAGATTTATTATAGAATAATTTCATTAACATTCATAACCTATGAAAGTTAAAGTGGGCATTGTTCAGATGCAGTATAGCTGTGAGGCTAAAAACAGAGCAAAGTCATTGCTTTCATGATATCTTTTATGTACTGACCAGTGGGTTTCATCAGCTCATTAATATTTCTGCTTATCAGAACTATTTAATGTTGCAAAATGACTGCTTTGACTCTTATTCGCAATTCTTAATTTCTATCACATCACCAGCTGCAAGTTTTAACTAGTGACATGATATACTGTAGTTCCGTGCTGATCATCCAACAGAATTAGGAATTTGGATCGTTAATACAATATACACTGAATTCTCTCTTCTTTTTAATTCTGTATGATTGGGACTAGATGAAGTCACTTAAAAATGAGTGGATGGGGGCCAAACCAAGACTTATAGATATCAGAGGAAGGGAGAAGGAGGAATGTAGTGGTATGGCTGCTTCTAAATTGTAGATTTGGAAGTTTCCAACTATCCTTTCCAGAAGACCTTGGGTGTACTCTATATATCTAAGCTCTGCCTCCTCCCTTGTAGTGGCTTCCCGGCACTATCTTTCTCCCTGGGAAGCGTCTTGTGGCATGTGAGACGTGTAGGGCATTCATCAAGTATATTGTTTTGCTGACAAATTAAGAAAAAGATGAACACAGTAAATGGACTAAAGTCTACTTATAGTACCCCTTCCTGGTGTTCAGGGGTATGATTTGGGCAGTCAGTTCCTTGTTGCTCTTCCTTTCGGGATTTCTTAGATTTCTTCCAACTTCTAGATTTTCCTTTTCTCAGAAGCTCAGAGGAGATAAGACAGAACAGAGTACATTTTTTGCCTGGCTGGGAAGTGAACTGGCTTTATGAATGTTGGATGGTATCACAACTGGCAGCAAAACTATAAATGCTACTTGTATTGGGCCATCTCTTGATTTGCCCTGCCTATCCCTGTGACATTTTTTAACACTGTGTCAGCCTAGTTCTGCTACCTCTAATTAACTAGCATAGATTACTGCCAAATCTGACATACCTGCATTCTATCAAGGTTGAGGTTGTCCTTTCTCAGGAAAGGCCAAGCTTGGTATAGAGTCATATGATCTCTCCTATCACCTCACAAAACCCAGTAATCAAAGGCAGAAAGCTCACCTATCCTCAAAGCCAATCAGCAGTCCAGTGGTGAAATTCAGCCAGATCTATCCGGATTGCATGATCCAGTAGCACTGGTGGCAGGAGACTCTGCCCACTCGCCCAGACGTCATCACATCCTGTTTTTTATCCTCTGCGCATGCACAGAAGACTCTGCATGGGTGGAGGAGGCACACACGAGTGTAGTGAGCCGGTAGGGAAAGGTAAGTGAATTTCACCCCTGCAGCAGTCATTCTTCCAAATCCTTCTCAGGAAAGGCCAAATCTACCAATGGGCCATTTCCTAGCCTGATATCCTACTTTCTGCATGGACTTAGCATAACTTTGGCGGTTTGCCAGACATTTGGCAGGCCTTTTCCTCAATTTGGCTATCTGTCCTTTCAAATAGATTGCAGGAAGAATATTTCAGTATTTTCCCCAAAGTATATATCAAACATTTAACTATACAGTATGCATGTAGTATACTTTAACTTACCCAAAATAAGCCACCCTTGCTCATACAGATAGATATTGGAATACTTAATTGTGAAATAATTTCCAGAAGAGCAAAATCAAAATAGTATCATATTCTGAGCTGTGGGTCAGATCAATTTATCAGTCAGATAAATCATATCAGTTTGCTGAAATATCTAGGAATTCCTGAGAGAGCCACTGCATTCCTGCATCCGAAGTTGAACATATGGCAAATATTGTGAATTTGCTGATTTTGCCATCCTCTGAAATCTTCTTTTTCTCTAACATGACAGGTTCCTTTGCAACTGCCCTGTTGGCTTCTATGGGGCATTCTGTGAAGTGGATATAAATGAGTGTGAAACGGTTCCTTGTTTGCATGGAGGAAGTTGCTTCAACAAGCCTGGAGGCTACCAGTGTATTTGTGATTCTGGTTTCACAGGTTAGCACATTTCTAAAATGTACTTTGCGGACGTAAACCAAATCTCATTATAATAACACAAGTGTTTGATCATAAACAGTCATTGTTTCATCCTGGGTAAGCAAAAGAGGTCACTTACCTTCTGAAAGATAGATCAATAATTACCATGGTGATTCCTAAATCTGCATCTTTGTTAAGCACCTCTGGACCTTACAGTACTTACTGCATTTCTGATTTATTGGTTCTTTACCAATCCAGGTACTTAGTTGAATTATATTAAAAGAGAGGTTACGTAGACCAGAGCAAAAATCAATATTTTGTGAATTCAGCCAAGAAAAATAATTATTCGTGCAACTGTGATGTTTTGCAAAACCTACGTATCACAACCCCTTTTTCGGTTGTGCCATTTTATATCACAGTAGGAATGCTTAATGAATCAACATAAATCCTGACATATGTAAAAGAAAAAAACAAACAAATCAGACTTTGGCACAATAAAACTGATTTACATTCACATTTCCCATTATTGAACATTTGACTTTCCTAAAATGTAATGTTGAAAACTTTCCTCACGTAGGGATTTGTAAACTTATATATAGAAATATTTATGCATTATTTACTGAGAGAAGCTGTACTAAAATCTTGGAATCTTTTTACTACTACATAAATATTCATCATATGTTATTCATATATTATGGATTATGTGTATTCAAAAACTCTAGCACTGCATACAACAACAATGCAAGAAGCACACGGCAACTGGTCTCTCATTCTGGGGCAGCAAGGGGCAGTATGTCCAGTTGCAACTCTGCTCTATGAACTGCACTGGCTTCCGGTGTGCTCCTGGGTGCAATTCAAGATGCTTTTTGTCACTTGTGAAGGCTTCCATGGCATGGAATTGGGTTATAAGAGCCATGATGGTGCAATGGTTAGAATGCAGTACTGCAGGCTACTTCTGCTGACTGCCAGCTGCCTGCAATTTGGTAGTTCAAATCTCACCAGGCTCAAGGTTGACTCAGTCTTCCAAAATCAGTAAAATGAGGACCCAGATTGTTGGGGACAATATGCTGACTCTGTAAACCGCTTAGAGAGGGCTGTAAAGCACTGTGAAGCAGTATATAAGTCCAAATGCTATTGCTATTGCTATTATTTGTGGAACTGCCTCTTCTCAATTGTTTCTACCTGTCCTGTTAAGTTTGACAGGAGAGGCCTGTTGCAATGTCCAAATGGTTAAAGAATGTTATCTTGTGGTAACCAGAATTTTTTGTTGCACTGCCTGTTTTGTGGAACTCCATTCTACTACCAGAATGGGAAAACTTGCCACAGCCAACTCACCACTGCCAACACACCGTGGCAAAACTCACCACAGCGGACTTGCCGTGGGACAATTTAACAATTCAATTTAATTATTTAACTTTAAAAATATTTTAATTTTTTGTCATTTACATTTTCTTTTGGCCCTTCTTTTGCATCCTTTCTTTAATGATTCTATTCCATCATTTCTTTTATTTTAGTGTAGACAAGAATATGCATACATATCAGAGGTGGGTTTCAGCAGGTTCTGACCAGTTCTCGAGAACCGGTAGCGGAAATTTTGAGTAGTTTGGAGAACCGGTAGTAAAAATTCTGACTGTCCCCGCCCCCATCTATTCTCTGCTTCCGAAGCCCTAGCTAATCAGGAGGAAATGAGGATTTTGCAGTAATCTTCCCCTGGATTGGGGTGGGAATGGAGATTTTACAGTATCCTTCCTCTGCCACGCCCACCAAGCCACGCCCACCAAGCCATGCCATGCCCACCAAGCTACACCCACAGAACCGGTAGTAAAAATTTTTGAAACCCACCACTGATACATATACACACATGCATACATACATACGCTACACACATTCATATTTATGATTCAGCACTTTGCAATGCTTCCCTTCATTCATTTCCTCACCTTATCTAAGAAAAAAAAATGCTGGGCAAAGTTCTGCTTTATTTTGGCCTTCTTATAGATCTCATACAAAGTCAATATTTCCCTGTGTGTGCAACAACAACAACAAAAAATAGAAGAACCAGGCAGCCCTTTGGCAAGTGCAGCAAAAACAGCCAGGGAAGGTCAGATCTCACTAGATAAGGCAGCCCTGGAGCCCAGCTGGTTGACAATTATGAAGGCTTCCTCTCCATGGGGAAGGTCTAGAATGGAAGGTCTTCTGTTACAATACTATGGAATCACTGATAATGTTGATGAAATGGAGGCTCCATTCTGAGCAGCCATGGTTGGCAAATGGAAGTGTGGCATCCTTGTGGCACGTTGGCCGTTTTATCCACACTCCTCCCTTTGTCCTTATTCCTTTCTCATTTTTATTTTTTAATCTAATTCCATCTTAGATACAGAACAGGAGGGTGACAGATTGTTTCATGTTATACAACACTGATGACTAAAATGAACAGCTGATGTGACAACTAGCAATCCTGATTTTGCCTCCTGAATGTAGCAGTTTATTTGACACAATTATTGGGCTGTTGAACACATCTGAGCAGCTGCATTTAGCTCATTGGGCCTATTTAGGCAACTCTATTTGCATAAGTATTAAAAATTAATCTTAGGGTTGTAGCATCATTTTAGTGAGCTTGTATCGTATTCATGTTTTGGTCTGTTAACCACTCCTTTTTGATAAGATTCCTTGCTAAAAGCCATTGATGTTGTTATTGAATTTTAGTTTATACTGCTTGGGACAAATTATGATAAGCAAAATGTTCTTATTTGCCAATCCAGAGAGTGTGATGAAGGGAAGCTATTTCAAGGACCATATAAGCTACCAGACTGTGAACAAAGGGGAGGGGGGGAATCACGATTCCCATCAATTAATAAGTTGATGCTCAGTGTTGGATTTATTGACAGCTTGAAAATTTGAGAAGCATGTATTTTTTTAGAAATGTACTGTGATGATGCATGACTACTTTCTATGTTGTATTGGTTTTATGTCACCTAATTCATAAGAAACGAAAACATATTGTTTGCAAGGGTGCCAACCTTCTCTGCTTAGGATAATGAAAAAGACAATTTAAAAAGTCAATATGTCAGCAGTTTAAAGGGGCTAGATTTATGAGGATATAACCAAGCAGTGTATTTAGCTGATTAAAAAGGAAATATATGCTCAGATAGTTATTTCTTTCATATATACATGCATGTATACATCTATACATATTTTGCCTAAGGGGCCTTACCCAACGTAGACAAAAAAGGGTGCCTGAGGTTGGTCTTAAAATCCAAATAGAATCATTTGTACCAATAAAGGAGAATATTTGTAGCTCAGGGTTGAAATGAGGGATCCTTCTGAAATGAACTCAGAGAGCACCAAGGATCCCTCAGAATCATGTGTATGCAAACACTATTTTAAATCATCTACCACTTTCTATCATTCAGCTTTTAAAGGTTTTAAATATTAAAACCAGCTCTGCCAAGTACATAAATTCCTCTTCGTTGTCATTATTTTTTTTTCTTAGCTCCTTCAGTTCCATGAAAAATAATTTATTTAAAAGATAGAAATTATTTCAGAGGAAGTTTAGGGTTTTACACCTTTGACCCTGTGCCAATTCTGTTGGTAATGGACACACCAACAGAAAGGCTTCTCCTTGAAGGTCTTAATAGCTAGAGAGGCTCAAAATGAGAAAAAGCTCTCCAATGGCTGTGCCTTTTGATATTTCTGGCTTTAAAAGTTGATATTACACTTTTTATGTTTGGTAAATTGGCAAGCAGTGTAAATGTGTCACGAGAGCAATAATTTGATCCCGGGACCTTGCACAGATGGCAACTTACCTGATGCATTTCTCACTTGCAGGTATTTTTAAGGGTAGCTTCATATAATGTCTATTCCACAGTAAAAAAAACTAGGTAACCATGACACAAATAGCAGAAGGAAGACAAATGCTCCATAAGCAGAACATAAGAATTACAGTGAGAAAATATCTGTTCTTTCCAGATAGGGCTGCAGATAGGAGCTATTTGGGGTTGTTAAAAACTTATCCTGAACTCCCATGCCATGTGTACCTTCAAAGATAGTGCTAAATCCAAGAATAATGCTAACCAGCATATTTGGTGTTTTATAGAATTTATAACCTTATCTAAAACTAGTTCAAAATGTTCACACATATAAACTTTCCCAATCTATAGTGCTTCTGATTTGTGAAGCTTCACTTTATTTGTCCTTATCTGGTCAAAAACTGCCTCCAAGAATTGTTTTGTCTCGTTGAAATGGGATGATGATAAAGAGAGATTGAATGGCATGCCATGTACTGTGTTGCCCTGAAAATACGACTTTCCAGGGAAAACAAGCCCTAGCCCTAATTTCATGCCTGTGCCTAATAAAAGTCCTACCCAAAAAATAAACCCTAGTTATGCCCCGCCCACCATCTGATTGTACGAGGTGGGGCAAGGTGCATGTGTAAAAATCAAGCTAGGGTGGGGGAAGAGGTGGAGCTGTCCCACATGTCCTGTACCTGCTTTCCTTAGGACTGCTGCAGTGGCCTCCCATGCCCTGACACCTGTCGTGCTGCTGTCTGACTTCTGTGGCCACTTGTGACCACTTGAAGCAGGACACCACATGGTGCATGGCGCCAGTGCTGCCGCTCGCAGCAGGATGCTGCTTGGATCATCGTGCCGTTGCTGCCGCCCACTCGTGCAATGGCACGACATGCCATGCAGCCTCCTGCCATGAGCAGCGGCAACGGCGTAACAAGCCATGCGACGTCTGGCTGCAAGCAGCCACAGAAGTCAGGCCGTGGTGCAACAGGTGTCAGGGTGTGGGAGGCCTGGCTGTGGTGATCCTAGGGGTAAGACATCCCCTGAAAATAAGACCTGGTGCTTATTTTGGGGCCCAAATAAAAATAAGACGGGGTCTTATTTTCAGGGAAACACAGTATATATTGATGACTCTTCAGTCCAGATTGTATCTCCCATTGGTTTCATATAGATATTAGAATGAATTCAAGGAAAGACAGTACCCCGAGAAAACACCATCAGTGTCTGAAGTTG